CGCGATAGTTTTACCACTTAGCACTGTGTAACATTTTCGTCTCAAGTTTGATCGGATAAAATTTGGGCCGCGTACTTCATGGAGGACACCCCCTCAACACATAGTTTAACATAAAACAGCGAGAAAGGCCGAACGCCCACCAATAGTCCAAAAAGAACAGAATAGCGCTTCACGTTCAAAAAGTCGTTCACACAGATATTTTCACACTCGATCAATAATTAGACTCAAGCAAGATGAAATTGGCGTGTGAAAGATGCGAAACGCTGAAAATAATAAATATCAAGAATCGCGTCACAACACCCGGTGTATTGTCCGCGCCGAATTCAGCATAAAAATAGCGTAGCCGCTAACAAACGCGTCAACCTGTCCAATTTAATTCGTTACAAAATATAAGACAATCTTAACCTTAGCTTAGGAGGCATCGAATGGATGGCGACGATAAACGGCAGGTATTTATTCAAGCTGTCTTGGCCACGGCATTCTATATATTAGCGTGGTTCGCGAGCAGTTGATCAAAGTCGATTATCGGTCAGCTACGGTATCTCGTAGCTCGATGTGGAAGATCGTTGTGGACAGTCTGCCTCTATCGAAGAAATCCGATACCGCAAAAGTACCTGTATTTATCTATCGTCAGCGTGCTGGATACAGCGTTCCAGCCAGCACGAGAAATCGTCTTCGGGAACTTTTCTTCTTCTTTCCTCTCCACGTCTCAGAATGTCATTCACGATTCTCTTGCCTTTCCGTTCGAGAATCTCACAGACGATGCTGCTTGTAATTGAAGTGGATTTTGGGAAGAGGCAGTCGGTAAGCCGATTTTATCACAGTCTTGCGGAATAGTTCGTCCAGAGTCTACGTAGTTTGAGTACTTTAAGGCTGAGGGTAGGTTACACCTTCCTTTGACTCGTCACCACGATTTACCTTTAACCTCGGATCGAGCAACTTGTGCCGATCTGCTTCCGGTTGGTTGGCTGTTGGTTCCTTCTTGTCGCAAAAAATTTTGAAGAACACTTCTGTTTGCGAAACATTTTATTGGCCGATAGTTGGGTGTATATTTAGTTACAAATATGTGAATATTATTCAACGATAACTGAAGTGTTAAAGGAATTAAATAGTGAAATAGCAAATAGCGAATGAGAAATCGAGGTACAATTATTCTATTTATTTATTTATTAAATAAACGGGCAAACTACCAGTATTCAGGGTGGGCCACCTAACCCTAGTGCGTTCTTCTGTTCGACTACACACTTAAGGCCTTTGGATCTTCTTTGACCCAATGACATTTCTTATTTATTTTTTATAATTATGAGAAACAATTTTTATTATCAGCACGCCATATGAACCTACACAATAAACTTTTAATATAACGTTAAGAAAACATAAACTTGATAACAGCAAAAGATATTAAAAATATAAGAAGACAATGGGTCGAAAAAGACCCGAAGACCGCACTAGAGCTAATTATCTTCTCTATTTAGGTATAATGATACGAGAAAATTTTTATACACAATTCAATTAATTTCAAAGTGTGAATAAGATATGTGTTCGTAATCAAAAATCGCTACGATTTCAATACCTCCCGATACGCGTTATTCGCGGTCTCGCGAGTATAAACTGAGCACTGTAGAGTTTGCGATACGATTTAACAGGCGAAATGCCGTAGACTTTAATATAATGCTTGGTACACGAAGTTCGCCGATGCCTACGCTGAATCGTGTTACTCGTTAGCGCGTTCGAAAGCAACTGACTTCCTCGACAACAATTCGGTTTAACCGAACTGTCGCCCCGTTCCACTCCCCCCGGTACCGATACCACCTTTGCTGAGCCAGTATTGCGAGAAGGACGTCCGCGGGGAAGGAGACGGTGTGTTTACGACGCTCGCGATCGCGGTGGATCGCGCGAACGAGGAAGCCAGCTGACGAGCGCGGTTTGTCGTTCGAGGCGATATGCTCGAGTATAATAATATGACTTTAAAATAACTTCGAATTTAAAATTTTTAATTAAATATGAAACTTCCTTTCCGTTTTGCTATTTCTTCCATCCTATTCACCCTTTGTGTTAAGCACTCGGGTACTAATTTCCGCGTACTTGGAATATTGCACTAGGTGCCGTCTGAAGACTGAATGTATTGCGTTGAGAGTCTGACTGAATCTTTAAGATTGCTAATGTAACTGATGGTCTGTACACTAACGCTCTCCCGTCCTACTTATTTTTTCAAGTTGTTATTTTGTTAAGCACTCGGGTACTAATTTCCGCGTACTTGGAATATTGCACTAGGTGCCGTCTGAAGATTGAATGTATTGCGTTGAGAGTCTGACTGAATCTTTATTATTCCTAATGTAACTGATGGTCTGTGTATTAACACTCTGTGGTCTTAAGCTAAGTCGGCCTTCTTATCGAGTCGTCCCTTCTCCAAATCTTCGAAAATTTGAAGAAGGGACGCGAAGGGAGGTTCTTAAAATTACTAAGTGACCAACCCCGTATCACCCCCTTCCATTGCGCCCGGAGTGCGTCACGTCCTTGGAGCGGGGGTGACGAAGCTGGTCCTTGTTGGACGGAAATTTGACAACAAGGGGGGAAAACCCGGCCAGGTCAACTCTGACTCTCCGACTCGTTCGGAAGGTCAGGTACCGAGAGGCCTCGGTAATTGCATCGGTTTCGAAGACCCTTTGGGGGTGACTTTATGATACCTTGCCTTACTGACTGAACAATAGCCTATTCTTTAATATTTTAGAAATTCTAGGTGCCGCATGTTTGCTGCAGACCGGTCTGCTAAATTAAAAATAACGGTTTGCTGAACTAGAAATCACGTATCACAAAATCGTCCCCTTGCTGTCCTAACACTTTGAAACCATTTAAATTAAATATAAAACTTTGGCCCACCCTGTACAATAAGATTGAACAGTGCTAAGATATTCCATCATAAAAATTACGTAGCATTTGTAAAATGTATAAATTGAGCCTGAAAAGAAGTCAATTTCACAATCGATAGGATTTGCACGAGATAGGATACGGCTAATCGGATCACATACATACATTTTTCTTCGATTTATACAGTGGAAGTATGTGACAGTAATACTAACTAAATAAAGTATATACGATACAAGTAAAGATATTAAATACTATTGATACTATTTCATACGGAATTAGTGACATAGTGTTTTCTCAGAAACGAAGTTTAATTCAAAGCGGAGCAAAGTGTTGCTTTTTATTAACGGGGGTAAACAGTGCTCGAATGGAAGAAATTTAATTGCCGGGGAAAGGCAGTGTTACACATAAATTTGCAAACGCGCGGAGCTATTTGAATTAAACACGAAGCGTATCAGAATTTTTGTGTATTTTCGTTTCTAAATAGAGAGCCGCGCTTGCAGTTCTGAAAATAGAGAAAGAATTAAGAGCGGTACAGTGGTGTACACCTCTTCGGTTAACCGTGTCGCTAAACGAGCGAGTAAAACTGCGCTCGAAACCGCCGAAAGTGTACAGATTCTTTCGTGGAAAAATAAAATTTCCGCCGCGTGTTATTCGCTGCGGAGTATATCAAAATATTTCCAACGAAAGATATTGAGAGCGGTAAATCTGAGCGTGGCTGTCGTATCGAATGAATAAAACAGATGGAATTGAAATGGGGAAAGGATCGGGGGAGAGATTAGATAATCTACAATCTGAAATTGATGACCGCGATACCATTCACGGCAATTGGAGAAGAAGTATTATACCGTGGGATTTAACTGTATTTTTAGTTTCGAAAAAGTGATCTGTTCATTCTACAGGCGAAGGCGATCCTTCGAACTTGTACGAATTTTCAGGGGTAAAGTGAGAATTGAATTTTAGTCGATTTACGTTAACCAAGGTATACAGGTTGTATGGAAAATTTGTCTGATAAAAGAATTCTACTGGAAAATCATTCTTTTCCTTGGTGAACGCAATCGTGAGAATTTTATTCGAAGCCTGTCCTTTTAGACGTAAGTGGGTTAAATGTGCTTCCATATAACGCTGGAACGTCGAAGACTGTCAATATATGTCCAAACTGCAGATTGCACGTATTTATTTTGAACTGGTGTCAGACTGTACGGCTCCATTTGAAAAGAAGACACAGTTGTACAATTTAAATTGCTCCGATATAACAAGTGTATTGCAGAAGACGTATTAATGTTGTGTTGTAGTGTGTTAACTTTTATTTACCTCCATTCAATTGGAAACTATGAGAAGTATTAGTGAAACCTTTGATAGCTTCGATTAATGAAAAATGCTACATATATCTGTTTGCAATAAAAAATTCTTCGAATTTCCGTGTAAGTCGATATCTTGTAAGTGAAAAGAAAAACTGATATGGTTATCACTACTGTGATCATTTTCACGGAGATCGTTTTAGTTTAGAATAATTTTTTATTAACAAACTCATGACACTAGTCCAGGTATATTTTTTTTATCAAATCTCGCATTTACTACAAAAATACCTTGACTAGTGTCATACAACTTTATTAATAAAAAATTATTGTTGAATTTCTAAACTCTGCTTTACTTATATCTATAATAAAATAAAAATATTCTGATTTACTTACAATTAGAGCTTTCGCAACATATTTTGCGATGAATGAAGTTCATATAATTGATATAGCAGCTCAATATAAGAAGTAAACAAATGAATAATATTCCCTTAGAAAAATAGCACAATTATTCTTCCAAATATTTTTACAATGTTAAAATTATTAATATTCTGAGATGGTCTGTAATTTCTAAACTAAGGGTTCTGGTTGTTCATATCTCGGTTAGGGTCTTCTGATTTTTCACTTGGAGTATTAATTCCAAATATTTCTAGAGCGTCGATTGGTCATTCTTCGTCAACAATTAGTGAGCAACTCTGTCAAATATCCAGAATTAAAAACAAATTCCGGACTAAATGTGGTCAAGCTAGACCCAAGTGGACCTTTTCGACAATAATTCTTTTTAGGATTACCGAAGTTTCCTTCACATTCACTAAATGTTCTAATTCTTACGAACAGGAGTGCACATACTTCTGCGTGCAGAATTCTTCCAATTCAAATCAATTTGTGAAGAAAAGCACAATATCAGCCAAGAACTTTCATCATTGTTCGAGGACTCACGAACCACCGACAAGAAGGAGACACGTGAGAGAAACGAAGGTAGCCGGAAACATTCACTTAGTGAGCCGTCGTTTAATCGTTAAAGTTTAAAACTAGCATCGGTCTGGACTCTAAACGAACCGTAATATTTTCACGCCGCTATACCGAGGTAATTAAGCAAGACGCCCGTTCCGGGAACCGCAACAGATGCTCGAGCTCCCGCGATTTCGAAGTCTCACCTAGCAGACACGTCCTGCAACGAGAATTTCGCTCGGAAACGCCGTTTAACCGTTCACGAGAACAAGATCGCTCTTTCCGTCGTTTGCATCCATCTTCGCGGCCACGGCTGGAAACTTATTGTTCCACGACGCTTGCTCACGACGTCGATGGTAGGAGGATCTTTTTTTTTCTTCCTCTTCTCCTCCTCCACCCTCTCTCGCCTGTTTTCACCGGGTACGCTTCGACGCTGAGAAATTTCAGCAATTCCTCGTCGCAGTTAGCAGTTCCCGGCACGTTTCTTGCACGGGGCTGGATCTGAAACGAACCGATGACTGGAGAAACAACTTATTTTTCCGCGAACTTGCCGCCGCGACGTGAACGTGTGTTAGGGAATATTTGAATTTGAAGTTCGAGACATTTTTGTTAACGGTGGGGAGGGAAAAAGTATGTGCTCGAATGGACAGAATTTAATTGCCGAGGAAAAGCGGCTTTACATAAATTTGCAAACGCACGGGACTATTTGAATTAAACATCAAGCATGACAGAATTTTGTGTATTTCCGTATCTAAATGGAGCCGCGTTCGCAGTTCTAGCCTTGTTCATTTTTGCGAACATTTTGCAGAATGCTGTTGTGAGGTTCTGTTTTTTATAGATTGAAGTATAATCGAGAAGGTATTATACAGGATGCAGGACGATGTGCCCAACCGTCAACTCTGAGGACTTTTTTTCACCCTTCAATATGGTCGATAAGAGAATTCGTGTCAAATATTTCCCCACCAATTATCCTCTACCTAAATTTTGTCAAAATCGGCGCGTGAATTCGATTTGTTTCCTTGTTGGCAATGCAAGCGCAATCGTACGCAAACTGGTTTTTCTCAAAGATTAAGTCTGGGATGAAGATACGTTCGGTATTTTCAGAAATTCAGAATTTCCAAACTTGATTCTCTCAGAAATTAAGTCTCGGATGAAAAAATTTTATTCTACATTTCTCGTTTATTTTTGCACGAGGAATCGTCTTTGGCCCGTGTGTACAATACTTTCGCTGCTTTACGCGCTAACAAAGAGAATATCGCATTTTATTTAGTAACGATTTTCAAAAGACAGAAGAAACTTTAAAGAAATACAATTACAACAAGAAAGACATTTTACAGCATTGCAAAATGCGAAGAAGTTACCAAAGCAACGCTTAATGTCCAACTGATACATTCATATTCCACCGCAGAAGCCACCAAACATTTTGACGTTCTCAATTCTTCGTTTCTATACCGCCTAACCTAACCGTAGACAAAGTAAGCGATTATTGAAAAGACACAGGGTAGTTTGTACCGTGTATTTCTCTAAATGAAATATCATTGCAGCATCGATAGAAAAAAGTATAAATATCTGCGGGAAACAAAGGGGGCAATATTGTTGAAAAAGAAAGCGATCATACAGGTGCTGTCGAATGATGTAGAATGGCGATTCGGCCACGTAAAAACGGCAATGTGCGCTCATAAAAATGGATCGATGTCTGTTTCAGTGCCGAAGGTGGAGATCGTCGACGAGCACGGCGCTACCGCCGGTGACAAATTCTACAAAGCTGGCAGCACGATAGAATTGAAGTGTGTGGTCAGCAATATACCACAGCCTACCGGGTACGTTACGTGGCGGCATGGATCCCGAACGTTGAATTACGACACCACTCGTGGAGGAATCAGGTGAGCTTCGAACACACGATTTAATGGTACAGAAAATCATTTCACTGCTCTACCCTGCTCTAGATATCATTTCGTCGAAATTCCTCCTCTATTATCAGCCGACGAATTCGACATTATGCTCGCGGCTAAAGTTAGCTCTTCGTCGAAATCTGTAAGGGTGGCTTTATGTGTTGCTTGAGACGACAAAACGGTCGAATTTTAGAATTTGATTCTGAATAAAGATAAAACGAGGGAATTGATATATCGTGATTACCTAACAATAAAAGATCTTCAGTCCTTTTCTGTAAGTTTCTCCAATAATTAGAAAATTTCGAGAAACAAGATGCAAGATGATAGAAGAGTTAAATAAGTAGAGCAATTTTTTTCAATCGTATGACAGAAAAATATTGGATACTACGATTATTTGTCCGTTTGTTTAATCGTTGAAAAAAGCAGCTTCTGCGTGAATGCACAGGAGAACAACTTAAACAACTTATCAGATGATTAACGAGAACAGAAGGAACTTCAACTGCTTTGGCGAACATTTTCTTTCATCTAGTTGCGTATTATTTCTCTCGGTCTATAAATAATAATGAGCAGTGACGTTGTTTAATGACGATGCGGGAGGAAAATTCAAACTCCGTAGAGTGAACCACCTCGTTAAGGGAAACCAGACATTCACAGACATCCCTTCTTTTGTATTTTTTTTTCTTTTTCTACCAAGTTACAGTAGCAATATAAAGTTTCATTCTGAGATTGGAGCACTTTCGAGGCGGTCTGATTTTGTATTGTAAACGTGAATTTCTAGTTAAACTTCAGACGTTGTTGTTGGATTGCGAACACGATTGTTAGGGTTTGTTAGGCGAACGTACAAGTGGCCTTTGCACCGTGCAACTTAAAGTGCAATCAGAGAAGAGATAATAGAGATGCATCAAAGTTTGCTTCAAGATAATTTGATCAACCTACGTAAATGCTATGTAAATATGCTCGGCAGAATTCTATTCGATCCGAGTAATTTTGATTCGTCAGAAGATACCTGTAGGTAGATCTTGTATCGTTATGCTAGAGCATTAACATTTGATAATGTACAAGTAATATTGTGTACGAGAAAGAAAGAAATTTTTTTCTATTTTCAGCTGCATCAAAGTTTGCTCCAAGATAATATGATCAACCTTTGTAAACGCTACGTAAATATGCTCGACACAATTCGATTCAATCTAACAAGAGAACATCTCCAAGCGATAATCACTGATATTGATGAAACCTTGATGAAGAAATATTTTTTTCATCGACAATAGTCCACATTGAGAGAGTGACAATCTAGTAATGTACAGTATTTGGTCAAAATTATTTATTATTTTGTATTGTTCAAATTTGTTCCCGAAAAATGCAAAATTCGTCAACCGACGCTATTTCTCTATCTCTAACAGTTTTCGAGATATGAGACTAAATACATTTACTATCTCCAACCTCCCCCAGGGCGATTTTCACCCCTTCACTGTGAACGATTGCCGATATAAAAAAAATTCGCGTCGAATATTTTGTCCAGAACTACTATACATCGAAGTTTCAATGAAAATCGGCGATTTTCACTTAGGGATGTTCGCTTGAAAGTCATTTTGATTCGTCAAAATATACCTGTAGTATATTTTACAGTGCTAAACCATTAACATTTGATAACACAAAAATAATACATAAGAAAACAAAATTTTTCCCTTTTTCAACTATACAAAGCTTGCGTCTCAGCAGAATCTTGCACGAAAACGCTAACTCCTCTGAACTATCGATGTTACAGTGGAGCAGGGGGGTTCTTGCGTATCTATTATATTTCATATTGCAATGCTAATTGTGAGCTATTAACAAGAAAACGAAATTTTTCCCATCTTTCAACTATACACACAGCTCCCGTCCCAGCAGAATCTTGCACGAAAACGCTAACTCCTGCGAGCTATCGATGTTACAGTGGAGCAGGGGGGTTCTTGCGTATCTACTTCCCTCCCATGGTGGTTCTTTCTTTTTAATTAAAGCGAAACGGAGCTGCAGGGTGTAACATCTGACCGCATGGACCGTATTCAGATATGGTTTGCGGGCACTCTAGTAATTTCGTTGGCCGGCAGCCGATAGTTTATGCAGGCTGCATGGGGATTCTAATTGCTTCGATAAAGAATGGAACGTTCGGTGAATTTTGAAAGGCTTTCATTAAAGTTCTCTGAACTGGCAACGCCGGTCGCCCGGCGTGTGTGACCTAATTGGTTATAGATATGACAGAATTCATGAATTTTAAATAGCTCCCGTTCGGTTACCCGCGCTTCCAGGCCATGCTTGCCCTCGCCTCTAGCCCCCTCCACCCTCCTACCTTTCGATCACGCCAGATTCGTCGATAAATCGATTCGCGAACATGCCTCCCCGTTAATTCGTTCACTGTCATACAGAAGAGACTTTCTTCTCGTCAATTTCGTGTGTCAACGGAAAGAGCTTGACGCCATCGCGATAGAACCGTGCTGACGTAGTCACTTTGCTATCCGTGGATATGCGTTTTGAGATCGTGAATTCTTACTATGACGGGCTGTGACGTCGTCCATTATCTCGTCGATTTGACTTATTGTTTTATCGAGGCGAGCTATAGTTTTTCCAGCTGGAGCTTTTAAACGAGTTACTCGGATGAATACGTTAGACGTAGAAATTAATTCGGTGAGTTTACGCTACGTGAATTATAAATTTCAAATTTAAACAGTTTCCCGCCATTTCGGAATTTCGAAGTACCGACATTAATATTTAACAAAGCATCGCATAACTTGGCGAGAAAATGTCATAACCTAGAAAAAAGACATTGGTAAACATAAGGGCGTTGGAAAAAGACACCGAATTAATTTCTATACCTAATATGTTATATTTTAAATTAGAATTATCCCCTGAAATATTTTTTCTTTTAGTGTAATAATAATATTTTTAAAGTTAGGAAATATAATAAGGATATTTGCATGTTAATACAATTTCCACGTAACAAGGGTGAAATCTGTAACAGAGAAATTAAATCTTCTGCTACTTTTTAAGTATTTGCATTATAATTCACGATCATGCAAATATCAGATTTCACACGGTTCTTCTCTACCTGTTATCGTTATATCTGATCATGATTTATTACCATTATCGTTATTGCGTAATTCCTGCCGGAATACTCGGTAAACATTTCGATAAATACGTTTGTTAATTTCATGCTCAATCACATTATGTTGCCGGGGGTATTCTGTTAGCTTAGACACGTATAAAACAGGCGGAGCACAAAGGTGTGTATACGCGAAATCGGCGAAACTGTTGATCGATAAAACACCGTCGACTGCAAGATAAAATTGAGGTTAATGAAAATGCATGTGACGCTCGTGTAAATTTTCGATTCGTTTATGCATCGATTATTGTCGATACACCGTCTCATTTATTAAAATGCACACTCATTTTGATAAAATTCGCAGCGTATCATATCGGCGGCGAATTTTGACGGATAACTACTAACAGATTAACGACGGATAATTTTGAATGAATGATTAGAGTGATTAAGGATAATCCTGTCATAATGCACGAGACTCGGTGAACTTCTGTCCTGTATTAATTTATTTTCCTCGATTCGCGTCGTTTTTCCAATAATAATTCGTCACGTTGAATTAAGAAATCTGTTTACAGGAAGATAATTTTCTGTTTTTACTGAGAAAAATTTATATAGTAAATTAGTAATATTAGAAATTAACGTAATTAAGCTACCGGTGATTATATTATTGGATGATTGCAAAAGTTCGTGCCCGATTTGAAAATGAAACACAATCGGTGTGTGCAAAAGCAGATTTCGTTTGAAACTGAAATGGAACGAAGCGAATAATTATTTGAAAATAAAACACAAACGGTGTTTCTTTCGACAGGAACGTAACATTACGCTAAAAGAAACATCTGTGCCGAAGTCGATAAGGTTCTCGCCACCTTTGAAAATCGGGCACGAACTTTTGCAATCATCCGATACAATTTCACGAAACGAAGAATATTTGAAAATGACGTTAATTCTGATTCCACGCCGTAGGTCGAAATGCGGAGAAATAAAATAGCGTAATCTTACAGAGAAGTGGAGAATTTTCGATTGTTAGTCATAAAGATTCGAGACGATTGCACCAAATGGGACGTTAATGCGTACTATTATGAGAGTCGCAGAACATCGAAACACAGTCGTAATCGTCGCAATGTAGGTGCCCTGGAAAAGGTTTCGCGTTCTATCTTTAAAAATTAATCCCGAACACTCGTTCAGACGTTTTACATACCGTCGTAAACGTATTTCCCTTCCTGTCCAATTTTATGGACAGCACAGTATCTTTTTCAATATTCACGATCGACGGAATTCAATTTTTTTACGGTAATCCAGTTTGAAAAAGTGCCAGGCGAATTAACTCGTAAATTAATTTAGTTCTTAAATTTTCCATCGAAAAATCAATAGGTCAGCGTGTTATTCTAAATATAACGATAAATACATTTTACGAACGAGCAGGGGTTGTTTTATTTTTAATACTGGATTTTTCTATACGATGCAAGTAACAATAGAATATTAGTTTACACTTCAAAGCCGTGGTCGATGCCGTAACATTTTCACGAAATAAATTACGGCTTAAAATTCTAAAATCGATTTGATCAATTTAAAAAATAAAAAATACCTGTTTAAACTGAAAATATTGCGTAAAAAAGATATTTCAAGAGGAAAGTAATTAAAATCCGTTCGTTGCTGTTGGCTGCTGAAGCCTTCTGACGATCTTCTACCTTGATTTAACGTGCGTCTATCTTAACTCGATAAACGGAATTCTAAAACGATGCCGCCGAAACAACAAATTTTGCAACCGTGATTGAAATCTGCCGCAGCGAAAGGGTTGAAGGATGACCGTTTCTATGTAGAATATTAGTTTCCATTTGAAATCGAACACTTCGAAGCCATAGTCGATATCATAAAAATTCTACGAAACGAACAACAGATTGAAATTCTACGAAATTGACCGATTTAAAAAAAAAAAAAAGCAAAATGCGTATCGGAACTTGAAATATAGACTAAAATATTTCACGGAAGAAGTATTTAGAGGCTGCGTCAATGACAATTTCCAGAATACTGGTTTACGTTTCAACTCTGACACGTTAAAGCCATAATCGGTGCCGTGAAATTTCTACGAGAAAAAAAAACGACGAATTTA